TGTGACTGGCATCCCATACAGGGTGTGTCCGCCCCAGTGATTCCAGGGATAGGCTCCAGGGTTGCTGTGATTCAGTACTGATGAATGGGGATGGATGGAAGCAGGAATTGGGATTGCAGCCCTGGAGGTAGGAGGCCACAGTGCTATTGTCTAACACCCCAAAGAGAAACCTGTGTTCTCTTCCAATAGGGTTGGTCTGATCACACAGTAACGTTTCCTGCTACATATCTGTGTAGATCTTCACGGCATCTTACTTGCTCTAAGCTTATTAATGCACTTATCAGCCCTCCATTGTCTTTTTTTTTATCCTTCCCTATTCAACTGGACAGGCCACAGCAACTAATGCATATTGTGGAACAAATCAGCATAAAGCAGCCAGAATGCTGCAATTGTAATATACCAATTTATTTTAAATTAAATACGATTTAGAACAGTGTAAGCAAAATATCTCTCACCCTATATCTCTCTTAAAGTGAGATATAACGTATTGCTGTGATATGCAGATTCAAAGAGAGATGTCAAATGTGGAAGGCCTGCTTATTACGTAACGTTTATAAGCACATTTATCTTCACAGGTGCAGCGGGATCATAGCATCGTCCGTCTCTTCAAGGAGTGTGAGAATAGGAGCCATTTTGTGAGCATCTTTTCCTTGTACTTTACTAATTCATGAATCCCGGGCTCTTGACAAATCACTCTCTCTATTTATACATACGTATAAGTAAAGAGGACTGTATATTCTAACAGCTAATAGCAGTGAGCTTTCTCACCCTTGGCAGGTCAATTTAACGAGCCCTAGTACGATGTATGGCTGCAGTAGTCATATGTGTAAAACTTTATGCAAATTGATGCATTTTAGTGGGTAAAGTTTAAAGCTAAGTTCTGGTGGCTGTTTGACCACAGTGCAGACATCTCCATTGAGGGAGCGCACTGACTATGTACAATGCATGAAAGACCCCTGGAAGCCTCTGGCACCCGGCCGATTGATGTCAGAATAACTTTTATACCGCTCTCCTTTGACAGCTTAGCCAGATAAGGAGTCTAGAAGTATTTTCAAGTTAACATTGTACATTATGTTTTGGGGGAGCCAAAGTGGTTCAGCAGTTTGCGCTGTTACCGTAAAATTGCTTGCGGTGTATGACTGTGCACCTTGGAATCCACTGGCTCACGTCTAACATCCTATGGCTGTCAAACATTCATGGAGGATGGATGGATGGATGGATGGATGGATGACACCTATTTCTACATCGCAAGCTTCTGAAATAGAATGGCACTGGCAAGCATCGCAAAATGGGTTAATCCACTTAATCTTTAGTTACCCTACAAGTTAGTCCTTAGTTACCCTGCCAGGTAACTAAGGTAACTGCCAGCCTACTGTAGTTCCACACACCATGGGTTTCAAAGCCTCATTTCCTGCATCACTAGCAAGCAAACAAAACAGTACTAATCAGCAATATTACTTAATGCTATTTATCAAGATGTTTGCTGTGAATCTTGCATGGGAATGATTTCTCTGGTTTGTTGTCACAACAAACAAATGCACTGAGGTGATTTTTTTTTTTTGTTTATTTTGCCTTGGGGTCTTCCCCTGACAGCCCGTGAGTCTAGCAGTGAGTCTACAGTAATGAAGAAGTGTTTCTATCCGAACATATCAGGAACGACAGGCCGTTTTTTGGGGATTATAACAATTCTGTAAGGCACCAGCTGAGAAGCTGAGAGACTTCTTCTGAAGCAGAATGAGCTGTCTGTCTCTGAAGTTGGTGAAGCTGGTGGAAGTTGGGCAGCATAAGGCAGCACATGGGTCTTTTGACGTGCCTACAGATCAGCCAATCACGTTGCACCGTGGCAGGATGGTCTTGGTACACAGCGGGCAGGTGTAATGGCCATCTGTTCAGTCTAAACTGCACCTGCAGAGTGTAGAGTCTAGAGGGAGAAATGTTAATCAGTTAGAAAAAAATGGATCCAAAGCATTGCACTTTATCGGACTTCAACGTGGATTTGTCACCACGAGAACCTGGAAGGCTCTGCATTCTTAATTAGATGGAGCAGATGATGGAACTGACCATAATCCTTCTGGTGACTGTTCAGTGGTGCTGATATACATATTAATACACATATACACTTGTCATTCTAGTCAAATCACATTTTTAATCTGATTAAAACACACGCACATTCATGCCTCTAGGGTTGGGGGTTTTAATCCTGTAACTGGACCTCTTGTTTGCCTGAGTTTCAACAGAGTACTGCAGTTTCCTGCAGAATTGCTACTGATTAAGCGGTTATGAAAGAATGGTAATATTTTCTGGTTTTCTAATACCTGAATATCTATATTATCTTAAAAACAGAATATATGTGGCTAATAATCTTAGCATGCTCGCTTTTTGTAAATTTGATTTATTTTTCCAACGGCAGCTTTTTTGAATGGGCTCATTTTTCGCTTCCCCCACTCCTGCTCTTCTTTACTTCAGAAATGAAAGTTTAAGCAAACCGGACAAAGGGCACCATGCAGTACTTTATGCAAACAAAGCCCAAATGGTGTGATTTCTGTCCTGACAGCCGAGATGAGTTCCATGGAGACTGAAGCCTCTGCAGATACGGAGCCGGTTCCTGTCGGCTACTGTTTAGTTTTCAATTTTCTGTTCAAATAACGACTTCAGTTGAATAAATAACAGCTGTGACAGAACAAAAAGCCAGCGGAGGCCCGGCAGGCCTGAAGGAGCACTGCTCCCCGCGCTGTTTCCGATGGATTTTCACGTCTAATTCGACTAGCGCGACACGCCTCAAAGGCTTCCTCGAGTACCATAGGACTAAACGACAATTAAATGGCCACAAAAAACTCTTGACCACTAATTATAAAGTCGCTGACCTCAATCAACAGGGAGCACAATGTACTGCCCTGACAAGAGACAGCTTCACCAGGAAGTGATGTCATATTTAATTATTAATTCATTTATTTGTTTTTAATTAGCGATCAGTGCATCCGAGACATGGTGAAGAAACATGATGTGAAAATCAGCCGCACAATAACAACCCTAACATAAAACGGGACGATAAAATATCTCTTGCGTGATATCTGTGGAATGACCTTGTTGGACTCATGGACGGAGATGCTGCAGGCCTCCTATTGACTTACGTCAAGAAGCCATCTTTCAGGATTATTGCGGTATTGCCACCGTGGGCAGATTCTTGCTTATCCAGCTGTGGGATTAGCCTGCCTTTCACTGGAAGACTAATCTGCCAGTCAGCTCCATTAAACAAAGCGGCTGTCCGTGTCACTGGCTCCCTGGAATATCAAATGTGCTCTTGTGTTTACATTCAGAGGCAGTGTGCCTCTGTTACGGCTTTGATGCGAGGCCCACAAGGATGATAAACTACTCCCCTGGAGTGCGGCTCTGCAGAGGTACACATGTGTTTTTGAAGCAGGTTCTGAGATCCGAATGTATCATCCCTCCTGTGCCTCTCCCTCTTTGGTCCAGTGCATGAAAGAGTCGGGGGGAACCAAATTTTAAGGAAATGTCCAGAACATTTGAGTGCTGGGTGTAAGTATGCTTGTGTATGTGTCTGTGTGTGTGTGTGGGTATGTGTTTGTGTGTGTGTGTGGGTATGTGTTTGTGTGTGCGTGTGCGTGCTTTGTTGCGTTGATGCTTTGTGGTTGAAAAACGGTGTTATTAATACTGGAAGG